TCTTTCATGTTATCTTTATAAAAAAGGGTTCTTTTTGATCTTGTCATATTTGTTGAAAAAATTTAGAAAAAGAAAAAATATTTATTGATTTATATCGATAATTGGGTCTTATTTATATATTTACAAAAAGTATATTTCTAATATGTATTATTGTTAATTTTTAACAATACTTAAATTTGTTAATAATATCACTGATTTATATAATACAATAAGTCTAATATTAATGTATTATCAAAAATAATACTTTAATTTATTAATAATGTTACCGATTTTTATAATATAAAAAAGTATGTATTATCGTTAATTTGATAATAATACTTTAATTTATTAATAATGTTACCGATTTGTATAATACAAAAAGTATGTATTATCATTAATTTGATAATAATACTTTAATTTATTCAAATATCACCGACTTGCATAATACAAAAAATATATAAATATACCACCTTTCCTACCATTCCTACCCATTTAATTTCTAAATTTTTTTTTCCTTACTGATTTATTACTATCTTAATATTAAATTTTATTTTTATTTTCAATATGAGTCAAAAAAATTAGTAAACATTCTCTTTCTGAAGTAGAATCTTCTGATGATGAAAAACAAAGGAATAAAAATAAAAAGGCTAAAAGAGCAGTGAAAGAGAAAAAAAGACCAACCTAAAGAAAAAAGACAATCAAAAAAACCAGTTTTGATTAATATCGTTCAAGAAAAGGATGATGATGATAAAAGTTAATAATCGGCATATGCATTATTTGTTTATATGTATTGTTAATCAAATATTCTTAGTTAAGAAATTAACTGATTGTTTTATTTTTTAATACTACAGTAATCTCTTTACAGGACCAAATAAATAAAATTGCCAAATTGGTAAAAATAGTCATAAAAGGTAAAAGAAAGGAAACCGAAAAAGAAAAAAATCCAAAAAAAGCCGATATATCAGAAAGTTCAGATACAGAGAGGCTGGTTCCTCAAAAGTAGTAGCAGCTACATCATTATCATCTAACAGTTCTGATAGTTCAGATACCTCTAATAAAGGAAAAAGTCAAAAAGAAGCATCTAAAAATAAGAAGGCAAATAAGCAAACAATCGGTTAATAGATAATTACTATTTTTCTTACATTTCTTTATATTTTTAGACAATAACGCATGAGAAATCACCACAAAGACAATGTACCAAATCCATCAGTAGTCATTCTGACTAAAACAGTCCAGATCAATTCTTGTCTCCTTCTTTCTCATCTGATTCTCCACAAACCTTATATATTTATTATAAAAATATAGATAGGGAATTACAAAATGTATTAAAGATACTCATATTTTATTTTTTATTTGAATAATTTTGTCTAAATTATTTACTAACTGATTTACATTTTTATTATTAGTCTGAAATAATCGTTATCATTGATAGATTTCCTGAAAACTAAAGGTTAGATATTAACAGAACCTTTGAAAGCCAACGAAAATTGGTTAATAATCATATGATACTGATTATACAAAAATCAAATAATAAAAAAGCATTTCCAGTATCAGACTTCATAATAAAGTGCATCATTCACGAACGCCATTGACATCAAAGAGAAGAAGTACTTAAGAAAAAGAAAGAAGATGAATGGAATGACTTCTAAAGGAAGGGGAAGTACGCTAACACATGTCATTATGAAGTAAGTAAACAGTCAGATTAGTTGTTAAAATAACTTTTTTTTAATTTTTTTTTTAAAAAAAATATTAGAAATGAGAATAACGAGCAAGAATTATTGATAAATATATTAGATTAAAGGACTGTCTAGTTGGAAAAATTTATAATGATGAACTCCAACCAGTTCAAACCGATTATCGATATCATAGCCCAAAGGTTTCGGAAACTGACAATGAAAATCCTAATAAAGAAAAATCATCATTCGGAAACCCAAATAGTGATCATCTATGGTAAGTAATTTTTATTTTTATTGGGTTGTATTAATTTATCCTTTTTATTTCTAATAGTTGTGTTTGTTTTTGCGAGACTATGTGGATAATGAAGATGAATCCAATTGTGAAGAGGAATCCAATAAAAATAATGATGATAATGAAGGTGGAAGTAACAAGAAGAAGAGAATTAGAAAGAGTAAAAGTGTGGTATCTTTCGAGTATAATAGTAGTAGAAGTAGTAGTAGTACAGATTATAATGATAGATAGAAATCGGTAGATTTCATAATAAATACTAAATAAATTGGTAAAATTTCAAAATATATTTAAATTTATATAAATTGTATCAATCAGGATATTTCATATTAATAAAAATTCTTTTTATTATAATTAATCAGGATTACTTATTGGTATAAAATATTATTATAATTATTAAATAAATTTGATAAAATGTTACCAATCAGAATATTTCATATTAATAAAAATTCTATTATAATTAATCAGGATTACTTATTGGATAAATATTATTACGTGTATTAAATAAATGTTACCAATCAGATACGCTATTTGTATAATAATAAAAAAAACTTTAATAAGAATATCCCTATTGATAACTTAGGGATAACCCGATTGGAAAGTGAATATTAATAAATTGATATCATTAAGAATAACCCTATTGATATCTTTATAATATCCTAATTAGAATCTTATTGTATCCTATCTGTGTTATTAATCGTCATCAATCTGAATCACCTGATTCTAAAAAAACAAAAAAATAGGAGACCAATTAGGTCAAATCTGGCAACTCAGATTTGACCTGATTGCTCCCCTATTTGTCATCGTTCGACTAGTGTTAGATCTAGTTTTAGAAGTTCAATCAAAATAACAAAGCTGATAGAGAAACATTATGATCATAATAAAATCATGCTGAATATTTACTTATTCTTTCATTTATATAGTTGCTCAATTGATTATAGGCTATTGTATATATTCTGATATTTTTTTCAAGCACATAAATGGAATATTAGATAATTCATAATTATAAAAATTTTCTAATTGAATATATTTATTAACTTTTTAAATTTACAATTCTTAGGCTTTTTACTAAATAGCAATAGAAAATTGAATCTGAACTTATGCATCGATTGATATTTGATAGTCAAATTAGCAGCATTATAAGTTCTGGTATTGAGATGAAAGGATTTGAATTTTTAGACAATCGATTTTCTATTGGGTCTTTTCATCTATTGACCAATTTTCAACAGATAAAATATATTGATTTTAGATTTATTTTCAAAATATTAAGAAATCACATATTATTGGCAATGAAAATTTTTCAGGAAAATTTTTTAAGCCATCATAATCATTTCAAATGAAATGCTGGATTTAATTGTTAAATACTATTTAGCAACTTATGAAAATCTCAAATTTCAGAAACCATTCAGCGATGATTCAGAAAATGCTATAATAATTCGATTTAAAATGAATCAGTTTGAAAGATGTCAAATCAGTTCTAAAATCTTCAGTTCAACAATGTCCTTACAACATGATAAAAGTTCATACATTTTGGTCAAATTTATTATGAATGATGATGTTATTGATTGTTATCTAGGTCAAGTTCAATACTATTTTATTCATATGGTCGATTTACTGACTGAACATTTTCTAGCATATGTTCACTGGTATTACTAGTAGATTCCATAGGGTTTAAATGAACTTTTATTGAGAAGTTCTTCCGGAAGCAGCAACATTTTATATATTATATTGAACACTTTAATTCAAAAAATACAAAAGATCAGTACTGCGCCAATCGCTAGACATTTAAATAAATTATTTATAATGGCAAGTATTCTTTTACAGTGAGTGATTAATCGTACCGACTTCTATGATTAAATTTTTGTTATTAATTTTTTTTTAATTATAGGACTTGGAATATGAGGGTGTACTGTAGATAAGCAAAAACCTTTTTGTTATGACACTCTATCAAAAGTGCATTCGCAATAAATTACTTTGAATGTGGGCGGAATAGAATGCTTGAAAACTAAATATAAAGGGTAAGTAAGATTGAATCGGAAATATTGATTTAGATTTTTTTACATCGGCTAATTTTTGCTCCGAATTTTGCAATAGATCTGAATTAAAATATGTGAAGTGGAATTGAGAAAATGTGTGTTTGAATTGGCTAATTTATTTCGGAAATATTGCATAATGCGGAAAAAAAAATTAGCATTGGTATTATGGAGTTAGGCTCGAGATGCTTTCTCCCTTGAATCTCGCCACTACATTTTTTTTACATGTAATAATTTCATTCATTTATACTAAAATAAAAAGATTTTGCTCTTTATCATTTAATCTATACACTTAAAGGAAAAGATTGTTGATAAAAACGCGAAATAAACTGATTGCTCGCAATTTATTGTAATATTATTTCAAATATTTTACAAATCATAAAAGAAATCTTTCTTTCTTTCGCCCTATGCAACTGCATACTTAATCTGTTTCTTCTTGATATTTCCTCTTCATTTCCTTTAGCTCTGTATATTCCTCATAAAATCTAGAAACGGATCTCTAAACAAAATGTCAGAATTTGGGAATCTCATTAAATTATGTAAAAACCCGCTTTACAGTAAGCATTACAAAACTTTCACAACACAGCCTACATTAATTCTTCTTTTAAAATATTTTCAATGTAAACTCTACTATAGAAATTTCATGCACAAGAAACATGGTTTAATTTAAACTGCTCATCTACATGTGGCGTTAGAGAGTCTTCGGCCCTAATACTTGAATCGGTCTGATATTGATCATTAAATTTTACCATGGGGTAAAAACTTATTTTAGCAAATATAGCAAATGATATATATAACTGGTAAGTCTGAAACTTATATACATTTCAATTTCGGCGATTTTATATATTTATTATAATTTTGGCTATGATCGTTTAGGTGAAAACCAATTTTCGACAATAAATAAAACCCGAATATAAAAAATAAATTCTGGATTAAGATTTGATTGTGACAAACACTGCGCCAAATAACAACAATACGCACGTGCAGTTGCTTATGTAATATAAATACACTTCGGAGAATCCTATGGAGTTTCCATCTCATAAGAAGATTGGAATGGATAAGTTTAAAAAAGATTTATGGAATTCAGCCAAAAATGTTGCAAAAATAATTCAGCAGGTGAATTATTCGACTCTGATGATTTCATACTTCAAAAGTTTATTTGTATTAATCAAAAAACGATACAGATTTGACTTTAGCACAGTATATGTCGTGTCGATGTATGGCGCCACAATGCACGTTCTGTGCGACAAGCAAATATTTCTTTTTTCGGCTATTTTGATATATCACAATGAATTTCTCAGATTAGATAGGTTTTTAAAGAAAAAAGTCAAATGGAAACCTATATGTTTGTAAAATTCTCATTCCTGCCGATTATCAAATACGTCAAATTAATTCCTTATTGGTAATACAATTACGTGGTATTACGTGATATTTAATAACCTTCAACTCCTGGCCTTATAATTCATTCCGAAGGGGGTGGGTATCCCGTGATTTATCTTGCATTTCTACCACACAATTGTAATACATGAATAAGATTGATAACTTCACAGGGGATAAAATCTTTAATGCAAAATCAAAGGCAATAAAATTCAATAAAGATTTAGCAAAAAAAAGCTCATCCACTTAAATGATATCTTCTTTTTTACTATACAAACATTCAATCGATCACTTAAATGTTATTGATAAGAATGTCATATACATGGTTACAAAAAAATAATCATATGATACAGCGATATTAGCCATTCAAATTCGTTGGATTTTTGAATTCTTAACGCTTCACAGAATTGTCTCACTTGTCTCACGTGTCTTTTCTAAATAATAAATTGCAAATTTCCCTTTTTTAAAAATAAGATTTTTCATTTTTTTCTAATTCATTTTTTTTTATTTAAAAAAAAAGTTAATTAATATATTCAATATGGAAGTAAATGCAAAAATAATGATGAAAAAAACGCTGATTCTCATGAATTGGTGGAAAATCTCCGCAGAATCAACAGGCTGTATCCTGAATCCAGTATCAAATGTAACAGTTAGCGAAATTAAAAAAAAAAAACAGAAGAGGAGGAAGCATTTGAACCACCAGGAGATAAATTTGAAGATAATTCCAAAGTATCAAAATTATCATATTGGTTATTATTTTGAATTTTGGATTCCACGCTTGCTGAGGGCCAGTGGCTCAAATAGCATTATTTAAGGATAGATTAGTAACACAAGCAGGATGGATAACAGTGGGTAGATTTAACCGAGTATATGGAGTATACCAATTAATTCCTGGTCCCGAAGCAACCGATTTAGCGTAGTTTAGCAGGTGGTAAAATCGGAGGTGTATTGGGAGGTTTGGGTTTCATTTTACCAGGATTTGTTCTGTTGATGATATTTTCTTATATCTATGTTTTGGTGGGATTTAATAATCAATATTTTAATGCATCGTTTCGTTGTTTACAACCAATCGTATCAGCCATGGTATTATTTATTTCCAATAGAACTAAAAGGTTTAATGTTTGATTATTTGGTTTGGCAATTTTATCTGCATTACAAACCGCTCTTAGAATTAATTATTTAGTTACATTAGTCTCTTGCGGTTTATTATTTAACTTAATTGATCGAAATTATTTTTGGGCCGCGGTGGCCGAAATTACTGGTCTCATTATTTATGTCGTTTTTAAGGGTATTCCTTCGTTAAGTTCATTGGGACTTGGTGTAGACCCCACTCCTAGCCCCGGACATATCTTTGCTTTAGGATTAATAGCAGGCACTTTATCGTTTGGTGGTGCTTACGTAATTAATATTTTCCGTATTAAAGATTTCTCTTTTTTTTTTATTTCAGAAATAACGTTTCATTTTTTATTAGCAGACTGTCATTCCGATTATTCAAGCCGAAGCAGTAACAGTTGGTCATTGGATGACCCAAAAAACGTGTTTGGATGCGTTAACCATTGGGTAAATAACAATATATATATATATACTGTAAATATAATGTTTTATTATATACAAGAATTAATAACCAACCCTTTTTTTAAAAAAAAATAGCAACATCCTTTCTACACCACTTGTAATGTTCTCAACATTTATCGGATTTCAAGCGGGAAACACATATGGAGGCATCGGATACGCATTTCTTGAACTTTATTAGTAACGCTTGCAGTATTCGTACCATGTTTCTTAATGGAAAATGCAATATTAGAAAAGATAGTGCGTAATAAATTTTGCGCAACGTTTTTTGATGGTATTACGGGTAGTCTCATCGCTGTAACGCCTATAGATTTATTAAAAAGTTCTGTTACCACTTCCACCGTTTTGATTAATTTACCGGATATTGACAAACCTATCGCCGCTCAACATAATAGTATTGCCGCTGTGGTTTATATGATCACTTTGGCTGCCTTATATTCCTTTAAAACTCCTTATTTGGCCTTGATGTTAGTTATATTTGGCGCCATTGCAGGTTCGTTTTAAATCTTAAACTTTAAAATAAATATTTTATTCTCTAAAGGAATGAATCCTTTCTATGAATAAATGATGAATTAATTGTAAAGTAATTTCTATTTTTAAAGTATCATCTAAAAGTTAACATCGATATCACCATTCTTCGTATCAACGACCAAAGAACCATTTCCATCCCCAACTTTACCCTCTTTCTTTTTATTTTCATTGACATTTTCAATAGTCGCGTTATTAATTGTAATTTTACCATTATCCGTTTTTATATTATAACCTCCAAGAAAACTAGAATTCTGAAAAAAATAAAATATAAAGATAGATATATACATTCATTTCAAATTTGCAAAAAAAAAAAATGTAATATAACTTACGAAATTTAATTTTATGATGCCATTCTTATTTGTTGTTTCAATCTTTGGATTGGTTGCGCTCGGACCAACCGTTACATTTAATTGGATTTTACCGTTATCAGTAGCAGTGATTAATTCATTTGTAATTCCTGAAATGGAAGCATTAATATCCCCATTATTGGTATTTAAATTTAAACTATCTACTGTAAGATTTCTAATATCAATTTCGCCATTTATCGTTGTTAATTTGATCTTTGAAGAATAAGGCACTGAATTTGAATAAATTACAATATCGTTTACATCCGTTTCAATCGATGTAGTAGCAGGAATCGTTTGTGGAAGTATGACTTCCACTTGTGCTAAAATACATCTTGGTGGCAAACTAAGATATCCCACCCATGCAAATGCTCCTTTAAATGTATTACTTCGTTCCTAATCAAAGTTTTTAGAATCTAATTAATATTAAATTGACATGTTAAATCGCATCGCTTGATTTTTTACCCTTACCACGGTAATTCTCTTTATAGTTTCAACGTCTTCACCTTTAACAAATGCTTCATTTTCTTTGGTGGCCGCGATACGAACCGAAACCGTTACATTTGTATCGCTAGTTGAATTACTTTGTTGAACATATATTTTTCCACTCTATTATAATTTTAACCAATGATAACAATAATAATAAATAACAATAATAATAATCATGTTTTTAATTTACTTACTTTTGTCATGATACTGTTGAGTGAGTTGAATTCGAGACTTGAAAAAATGTTCGGATCATAAGTAAAGTTGGTGGGTATAACGCTATTAATGTCCACTTTCTGACTGAGTTTATTACAAGCATGAATATTAACCCCTGCGATAATCTATTTTTTTATATATATAATCTTCGATTAATTAAATTTTTTTTTACTTAATATCCATTATCAATGATTATTATTTGACTACTTACAGCCAATATGATAAATATTAAAACAACTAAACAACAACAAGTTCCGAGTGCCATAATGATAGGGGTACAAACACAACAACAACATTCTGTTGCTACTCCACGTGATATCTCGGATTCTGGCGGTTTAAATTGTATCTTTGATGACCTTGTTGACATTTTGTTACGTTTCTTTGGTTGAGGAGGAAAAAAAGAAAAGGAAAGGAAAAAAAAAAAAGAGTTGAAAATTTGAAAAATCAAAAATCCCATTACTTTCTTTTATATCTTTTTTTTTTTTTTAAACATGAGACCATCCCAATTAAATGCAAAGCCAAAGCCAATTACTTGAAAACATTTTTGATATATCGTTATAATTATAATAAAGAGTCATTAACACACATAGCCACATCTACCACCCTTTTGCCACCACTTTCGCAATTCGAAAATATACGGAAAAGTGTTATATAACTCTCTTCCGCTCGTTCTACATTTTTTTTAAAAATATTTCAAATCCTTAAATTGATTTTACCATAATTGTACATCAAAATATGATCGATTAACCTTTTTATAATAAAAAAATAAAAATAAAATAAATTTAACTTGAATTTTTTTCAATCAGGCTTGGTTATATACTCGAATTTACTCGAAAAGATTTTCAATTCTATATAATAATCACAAAACTTTTGATTATTCGTTTTATTTCAAGAGTCTACCCACCTTACCTAAATAAGCCACAACTTGATCCGTTAATGGTGGCTTTGGTCATCGAAATGTGAGGCTTAGGAAATCGGGAAAAATGTTACGTGACCGATTGACTATATATTTCGGTATTGTCTAATCTTAATCTCTCATCTTTCTCAACTTTCATCTTTCCCAACTTCTCACAAATATTACGAACCGGTCGTATTTTAAGACATAATGACAAGCCTTATTAAAGATCCTGTTATTGGCAGTTCAAAGAGATATACTATTTAATATATAAATAACATTAACAAATTATCCAATCAGATGAAACCATGTTTATGCTACGTGTACGCAATAAAAAATATTTGGGTTCTTACTTTACTCCCTTTTTACTCTCGAACGAAACTAATATACACTTGAATGATAAGTTTTGTTTTTCTATCTTTAAAATGTTACTTTCTAAACTGTGATATTGTTAAGGATTTACTAATAAATTTAATCACATTTTCTTTGAAGGTTTGTCGTAGAGATGCTTCATAAATTTTTCAATAAATATTTAAACTGTAATATTAGTGTTCCTTTTATATTATGTCTTAGTTTTCTTTATCATATTATTTTTGCTTTTATTACAAAAATGATAATCACTAGCTAATACATTAATTAATCTTAAAAAATACTTATATAACCAATGATTATAATGAGAATTCTTTCAAATAATAATTTACTTATTAACTTTAAATAGCCAATTAGTTTCTTGAAGCTTAATGTTATTGATTATAATTTTCTTAGTTACTGCAATTCAAATTATAACTTTTTCTAAGTAAATAGTGCCAAATCTATTTTTTCAAATAAAAAAAAAATTTTTTTATTTAATTTTTATAATTCTTTAATAAGAAATACTGTAATTTTTCAAATTAGTATTACTATTTCTAATAATGTATTATATTGGATATTTATTTTTATAATAGCCAAAACATTAATAATTATTTCTTTTAAAGTAACCAATTTTTGCATTTAACTATTACAGCAAATTTCATAATTCGCTGATCACTCCTAAAAATTGATTTTTAATGTCTGAATTTAGACATTTCATACATTATAATTTGTATAACATAAACAATAATAAATAACAATTTATAAATATTTATTGCAAACTGATATAAATTTTATTTTTTATTTTATATGACAAAATTAAAAATAATAACATATTTTCGATGAAAAGTTATAGAAAAATGGCTAGCCAGAAATTCTCATTAAAAGAAAGCTAAACATTTATGCATAAATAAGGGATCTGTATCTAATATAATAAACCATTTTCAAAGTTTTGGATTTGTTGAGTCATTACATTCTTTATGTGAAAGACCATGCTTATTATCTTTAAATAATATAGAATACCTTGATTTTCTTTTAAAAGAAAAAATAGACTGATATATTTGGAAAATTCAAAATGAAATAAAATTATAGTTAGGATGTAATATTAGTATTTTTACAATTTGACAGTTAGTACATTGTCTTCAATATACTCACAAATAAGTATAAATAATATTATATTATCTATTTGTATAATAAGTTAAAATTTTAACCTTATTTATAATTATCAAAACCTACTAAAGAAAGAAACAATATAGAAAAAGCAGATTTTTTATTACAAATATTAGAATATACAGCTAATCAACTAATCTTTATAAATAAATCAGCATATTGGTTGTGATCTAAGAAAATTAAGTTCTGAGAAATTTTTGATTAAAATTAATATCTTATTATATTTTAGTCTAAATGTAATAAAAAATAAAATGCAATTAAAATCTCAATTTTGATAAAAAATTCTCAGAACTTGATTTTCTTAGATCACAACCCATATGATAGAAAAACTTTATCTCGAAAATTTAATTGAAGCATTACTAGAAATCAAACAAAAAAATCAACATTTTTTATATATAATCAGAGGTTTACAATTGAAAGAGCACTTTGTATTGATGGACTTTTAGCTTATAGAATTTAAGAAGATCTAATGGATTTGAAGGACTTTAAATTTTTTATAAAAAATGTGTTAGTTAGTATAAATAATAATAAATAATTATATATTATAAATTATATATATATTATATTCATTTTACTAAAATTTATACAATATATTATGCATATTTTTAGTTATCAAAAATGAATACATTTTCTGGATTATATTGTGTTTTAATTTTAAATAATGCATTAATACATAAAAAATAATATATTTTTGAGATTTGTGAACAAAAAAACATATATCTTATATTTTTACTAGTATATTCATCATATTCATCAGACTTTAATCTGATATTTTTTTAATAATATTATTAATAATTTAAAGTAATAAAAATTATAAAATTTTTAGATTAAAAAATCTTTTTTTTTATATTAAAAATTTTTAAGACAAAATTGAATTTAAGTAGAATCATTAGAGGATCCAGTTAAAGTATTTGATATATCTTATATGTCAATTAAAAAAGAATTAGCAAATGCATATTTTAAATACAAATTAAAAATTATAAATTAAATTTTATTCTATTTTTATCAAAAATAAAAATTTATTATTTTATAATGTGAAAATTTATTATCATATACAAATTATATTATTAAATTATATTAAATATGCAAACTTTATTAAAAAGTTCATCAAAATTTACTAATATTATTTCTAAATTTAACCAAATATCAACATGTTGTTGATAAAGCATATTATTCATTAGTTAATCAGGTAAATATTCTTCTGCATGATGATTTTATATCAAATTTTTCATTAGAAGTTCTATTAGAAAATACAGATAATATAATAAATATTATTAAGTCATTTTTGCTAATATACAAATATTTGATTTAAATGAAGATATTTTTTTCATATGAATTATTATAGTTTAAGTAAAGATAAGTTTTTTATTTAAAATGTAATTGGAATAGCTTTAATTTAAATAAAAGAAAATATTTATTTTAAAAAAAAATAAAATAAAAAGTATAAATAATAATTAAAAATATTTACTTGATATATTCAAATCATTATTTTTTATCTTTATTAATAATCTTTT